TCCACGAGGTGTTGCTCCTTTCTCATCTCTCTTTATAAGCCCCTGGGGCTTTTCTTCCCACTTTGTATGAGTGCAACACAGAAGGGATCCCTGAAAATTAATCTCTCTTTAAGCTTCAAGGCCCTTATGCCAAAAAGAATTCTGACATAGAAGATCCAGTCACTTCACTGTTTAAAATATCTAGTGGCTTCCTTTCACACTTAAGTCATGTGTGGATTTCTTTTCTTTTATTCTGTGACCAATATGATTTGCTCTGGCTACTTCTCTAACCTCATCTCCCTACCCTCTCCCCCTTACTCCACTCTAGCCTCCACTCCACTGGCCTCCTTCCCTTTTATTTAAAACACCAAGTAATCTCCCACTTTTGTACTTGCTATTCCTTCATCCTGGAGAATCTTTGCTTATTTATTCTTAAAATTTGCTCTCTCATTTTATTCAGGTCTCTGCTCAAATTTCACCTTCTCCAAGAGGCTTTCCCCAAGTACCCTATCATATTAGCAGCCTCCATCACTCTCTGCCTTACTCTGCTTTTTCCATAGCACTTTGTAGTCATTTCTATTACATGCCTACTTGTTTATTATCTGTAGCTCCTACTACAAGATAAGATCCATGAGGGCCTGGACTTAATTTTGTTCTCTTCTGTATCTCTGGGCAGGGTCTGATACATAGCAGGCATTTAGTTATAGTTGAATGGTTTTAGTCAATAATGACTCATTTGTAGTTGCCAATTTGTATTCTCTCAAGATACACAAATCTGTATGAATTGTATTTACAAAATGTGCAAAAGTACAAAATATGTTTTTACCCCCAAATATAGTTGGTGCCCTTGGCTTGTTTGCCTTAGGGGTATTTCTTCTCACTAGCGTCTTTTGATTTAGAGGGGACCCCTATGTAGAATTTTTACCTTCTTATATTTTAGCCTTCACCTTTATTTCACCTTTATTTCTTAGTTTTCTTTGCATCAACAGTATTTCGATGCCTAGACTTCACGGAAAAGTGAATCAACAATCTTGCTCTCTAGAGGCGGGCTCACTACACTGTATCTTCTATAGATGGGCTGTAAGAAGGTGTTAGTGGAAACTTCTGCTCATATTAAGCATAAGAGCATCAGGGAAGATTAAAGAGTAGATCCACTACTCAATCTTGACATCCTAGCTTGGAACTTCCTTTCAGACAATTACTTACATGAACCTTTTCTTCAGTCACAAAACAGAATATAGTACTATAGGTATTTGTTATAATCATCCTGCATGGATGCTACAAAAAACATTCAGGAGAGTCCATTTTCATTTTTTCTGTCCTGTTCCCATCACCTATCAATATCCTAGATAATCTAATATTCCATCATCCAAATTATTATGTCTTCTCCAACTACTTCTTACAGCTGGAAAAAGCACAAAAACTTTTTTAAATTTTAAATTAAACTTGAATATTTCCAAACCATTCTGTCACCCTGATTCTTTTAATTTCCTCTCATGCAGTTCAGTATATAGAATCCAGATGCTCATGGTAACTTCAGTTCTGGTCTCAACCCTTTACACCCACAGAATGACAGGGTGGCCACCCAGTTGGCTGTGAGCCTTCGTGTGCAAGGAGACAGACGTCTGAGCAGCCTGCGCCGCTGCTGTGCTCTTACCTGCTATGATGCTCACAAAATGAGCCATGATGCATTTGCTGTCATCAGGAACTATAATGTTTCAGGAATCCAAAATGAATGGTGAGTTTCTTTCTAGCTTGTCTTCTCAGAAGAGATTTATACTCTGTTCTTGCTCTAAAATTAGTGGGTGTGTAAACTTTCCAGCTGGGTTAGGTTCTTTGTCACTCTGGCTAGCAGGAACTATTACAGAGGGGAATGGTCATGCACTAAGGGAGAGAACACAGTAAAACACTAGAAACAAGGCAGCTCAGCTGCAGCTTCTTGGCTGCATTTGGTACATTCCAGTTCCCACTGGTAGGTTTGAGAGGCAGAGTGAACTCATACTATCCCTGCCTGGATCCATTTGCTATATGCCCTGCTATAGTCAGGGCAAAGACCACCTGCACTTGGGAGTACAGAACGCATTTCAAGAATACATTTAGGAACTAGGAACTTCTTTCTCAACTACCTGATTGTTGAATCTTAAAAGCATCTTCCTTGATAATGAAAGTCACCTATATTCATTGATAATTTCTAACATCCCAACTCAGTTGTAAGCTCCAATGGTATAATACCAAATATCATATTAATAAACTTCGCTTCAAGTGGTCCTGAAAAGTAACCAAATATATGATTGGAGTGTGTTCCCTACTCCCTAGATATTAATGATTTTCAGTATTGAAATCCTTTAACTATTTATTTAACATAGACTGTTACATTGAAAAAAGTACTCCAGATTCACAATGGAAATAGAATTATGTGAGAAAGATAAATTGGATGTTTATAGATCTATATTAAAGATTATAAAAAATAAAAGTTTAGTTAACCACCTAAGTTACTGCTTATCTAAATATGTGGGCATTACTATTATATGTACAGACCTACAGTATGATGGGGTCTCTAAAGTTGGAGTCTTTGTTCTTAGAATATTTACTTCCTGGTATATTTGTTTGTTTTCAAATATTGAATAGTTTTGCTGAACCAAGTGATAATTGTGATACTATGTTCATATAAAACCTAATAAATTGACAGACTATAACAAATTCTACTCACCAAGAGTGTGAAACTTATTGCTAGAGAAGCATCAAAATTATCTGATTTTATAAGACTGTCCCAAAGCATGAAACTGAGGATAGGGAGATACTATCATAATAATTGTAAAATAGCATTTGCTCTTTACCTCCTCGAGGGTCTAATCTGTATGTAAAAGCACATTTCATCTTCTGAAATTCAGCTGTGAAAATTTATTTAGATAATTAGACATAATGAGGAACTTTATGACACGAATTTCTTGAAACGTTTCTGAGACCAGCATAGGTAACCAAAAGCAGTTGTGGAATTTCATTCTCTAGAAATCCCAGAGCTGAGAGTCTGTTAGAGTCAGGGTTAGGTGGTACCCTCTTTAAAAACAGGAGAATGGGTAAGAGAATTTTCCAAGAGTCTTTCTAGTCTAAATATTCTGAAGCTTTTTTGTTGCCTGAATGAAATTTCTTGCCCCAGCCCTGAACACAGCAGCTCTCCAGCAGTATCTTTGGAGAATAATACCTAGCTGTCGGGGCTCCGACTCACACGTGTCTGACTGAGTAGGTGTTCATCAAGTCAGTGTTCTCAAGGCGTGATTCTAGACCGGCAACATCAGCATTACCTAGGAACTTGTTAGAAAGGCAGATTCTCTGCCCATCCCAGGTCTACTGAATCTGATTAATCTGATACACCCTAAAGTTTGAGAACCACTGCAGTAATAACTTCCTCTTGTGGCAGAACCAGAATCCCAGTCAAATGTAAATACAAACTGAATCTGTGACCTGGTGCTAATCTTGTTCCTTTACTTTCTATACAGGTCCCCTCCCCTCACAATGCTTTTCCTCTCTGCTACCAAGTTCTCTGCCTCTACTCCTTCATCTTGCACAGACATCACCAACTTCTTGAGCAATGACCCAAGTTCAGTGCCAAAGGTGCCAATTACTAGTTCAGAAGCTAAAATCCAAGGAAGTGGCCCAGGAGTCACGGCCACCAAGAAAGCAACTACTTCCTTGGAATCATTCTTCCAAAAAGCTGCAGAAAAGCAGAAAGTCAAAGAACCTTCACTTTCACCTCTTACTGCCACTACCCAGGACCCCATGAGCGATTCACCATCCAAGCCATCATTACCTTTCCAAACCAGTCATGCTACAGGAACTAAGCCCTTCTTTAAGCAGAAAAGCCTGCTTTTAAAGCAGAAACTGCTTAATGATCCTTCAGCTTTCTTCCCTCCACAAAATCCACAATGCAGCCCTAAAGAGTTACCAAATGATTTTCCAACAGAACATCCTGATTGTGTCCCTGTCTGTGAAGAGGCGGTGAAGCTAGGATCCTCCAGAGCAACTCTTACAGAGATGGATTTGACCCAGAAGAGCCCAAGCCAGCTTGCTTCTTTAACTTCCAAGTCTGCTCTGGAGGTGGCTCGGAAGGCAACTACCACCCCAAGTCTCCTGGCTGCTGAGGACCAACTGCCCTGTGAGAAATGTGGCTCTCTGGTACCTGTGTGGGAGATGCCAGAACACTCGGACTATCATTTTGCATTGGAGTTGCAGAAATCCTTTTTGCAGCCCTATTCCTCCTCAAACCCCCGGGCTGTTTCTGCCAGTTCTCCTCAAAACAAAAGAAATCCCAAGAGCCCTTCAGCTTCCAGTAGTAAACGCCCCAGGCCTGAGGGCATGAAGACACTGGAATCATTTTTTAAGCCATTAACACACTAGTGCTGCCCTCAGGCTTGCTGCGGGGTTTTAATATTTTATCTGTAACCTAGGAGATGGAAATATGTTCAATTCTCAAGGAAATTCCTAACTTTATGAAATTTTTAGTAAGAAAAGTAATCCAGCTAGATGCTGAGTTAAGGCTCCCATCTCTTCACAGGCATGGATTCAAATGTTGCTGATAGAGATGTAAAATTCTTCTTCCAGAGATATAACTGCTTTGAGTTTTTAATCGTTGGAGTCTAGGGAGGCAGCATCATATAGTAAAAAATGTGTAGGCCTTGGAGCCTAAGAGATGTGGTTTCAAACCTGGCTCTGCCTTGTGGAGGTCACTTTCCTCACTTCTCATCTGTAAAATTGAGAAAATACCTTACGGATTATTGAAGATTAAGAATGATGTATTTAAAGTAGATAGCTTAAAGTTGGCACTGAAAAGGAACTGAGTAAAAAAATATTAAAAAAATTTTTTTTCCTATAGCTCTGTGACAGGGGCAGTTCAGATGATGCCTTGACCAAAATGTGAGGTTTGAGAATGTGAGGTAAAGACTTGAAACCCTAAAGGGATAATTAGTTTAGGGCAGGGCTCTGTGTACAGAAGCTTGTCAATGAACAAAAATTCGACAGTAAACTTAAAGATCTAATTGGTTTTATTCAACATTCATGAATTGGGCAGCATCCCATCTAGTAAATAGAAAGGGCTCAGAGGAGTTGTACAAAAAGCAAGATATTTATAGGCAGAAACTGGGTGGGACAAGAAAGTTATTAGCAAAAGAAAAGAAAGGATTGTTTCAGGCAAGGTCACCAGTCACCTTTCTTTGGGGAAAGGGTGGCAGGGTCTTATCAGGCAGATTACCTCACTAGTGTTGATCAGGAACTTCCAGACTGATTGGTTTAAGGTCACATTCCTGGCAGGGGCTGAAACTGCAATTAAGTCTTGCTTTGCTGTCCTGGGTACAAGTGACTCTACCTTGGGCCTATTGTTTATTTTAAAAAGCTACTCAATAAATACTGAATCTCATACATGTAAACTCTATTATAGCTACAATTTTAGATAAACTTTTTTTTTGCCTGAGCTAACATCTGTTGCCAATCTTCCTCTTTTCTTTTTTCCTCCCCAAAGCCCCAGTACGTGGTTGTACATCCTAGTGGTAAGTTGTTCTGCTTCTTCCATGTGAGCCACGCTGCAGCATGGCAACTGACAGATGGGTGGTGTGGTTCTGGGACTGAAGTGAACCCAGGCCACCGAAGCGGTGAGAGCACCAAACTTTAACCACTAGGCCATCAGGGCTGGCTCTATAGCCACAATTTTAGCCACTAGCCCTTCTACCTCTTGCATTTTGTTCTAATGTAGAATGGTGGTGTTACTGGGCCAGTTCAGGAACTGTTTAGATTGGATAAGTCATGATCAGAACTAGATCATCTCTAGAACCTTGCTACTCCAAGTGTGATTTTAAGGAGCATCAGCATCAGCAAGCAACTTGTTAGAAATAGTCTCAGCCTCACCCCCAGCCCTACTGAATCAGAATCTGTGTATTAACAAGATCCCCCAGGGTGTATCTTAGAGTTTGAGAAATACTGATCTAGAAGATACTAATGGCTGACCAGGTTTCTAGAGGGCAATGACATTTCCTTAAATGCTGAAGTACAAATTTAAGAGGTAAGTGCTTGGGCCTTCAGGGTCACTGGCATGTTCATCTCTTCCCTATTGAAGTGTGAATATTTCACTTAGGGTTTTAAATTAATTATTGTAGCTTATCGCACTTGTCCATGTTTATAGTACTATATTCTTCACCTTCACTCTTATATGTGGAAAGTCAGTTTTTTTGGCTTTTTGATATGGGAAACCTTGAATTACACAGAGAACCCAAATGAAGATGAACTGAGCTGGGGGTGGTGGGGCAAGTGGCTAGGGAGAATGGTGTACCTATCCCCCCTCCCATACATGTACACAAACCACCTGCTTTTGAAGCTTATTTGTAAATTAGGGGTCTGTATTTAGTTTGAAGGGGGAACGTTTGAAAACCGCTGGGTCTAGCAGGAAATTATTTCTTCCTCCAAAAATATTTTCCACTTTTGTAGCAGTTAAATATCTAATAAAAGACAGCATTCGCTGTGCACATGGCCCTTTCCCTACTAGATTTGTAGTTTCTCGAAGGCAAGAATTCTTCACAGTGCCTTGCACATAATAGGTGCTTGATATTCACTGGATGAAACATACATAGTGAAAACTTCTACATGATCACCAGAACTGGAAAAATAAAAATGTACATACTACTGGGGAGGGGGGGAAGGCAACCTTATACCTTTTTATCCTCCCAAATGTTCCATTAATGTAGCAAAGTGGCTCACTAGCTCCTAGAGATGTGTCATTAAAAAAAACCTGAGATGAAGCAATCATCTCCTTTGGGTGCTGTACAGATCAAGCTGAAGAAATTTTTAACACTTTGCTTGACTGGAAGGAGTCATATAGAAAAGCAATGTGGGAGAAACTTTGGTTTCATTGGACATCTAGAGACCAAGATGGGTAGTTGGGGTGGAGGGGGGCAGGCCTAGTGGGTAACTGATAAGACAATACCAGCAGCACACCTTCTGTTTTCTTAGAAATGCCACCCCTGCCCCAGCATACTGGCAATAAGCCTGTGGAGGGGACAGCAGACAGACATGCAAAAGTCAGTGTTGGGTGAAAGCTATAGTACATTTTTGTTGAATAGAACCTTTCCTCATAACTGTTTAACCACAACTGTACAGAAGGAAGTAAATAGCTCTTAGTTCCCAACACAGGAAAAAGTTCTTCAACCCCTTGCTCCTTAGTAGCAACTTAAACCAGTGATATTTTAAAAAGCAGCTGAGCTCGAGTGCCAGGGAAGCTATCACTTTAATACCCTGGAGGCAGAATGTCCCATGGGACCTTGGGCCACATTTATCATTAAATTTCTTTTGTAAGGATCAGTACTCAAAATGCAGACCCTACTTTTTCCAACTGACTAACCTTAGGCCCTATTTCTCCACCCATAAAACGTGAGTCAGGTACTCTGAACGCGAACAGTAAGAAAGGAATAAGGTTTGGCTAGGTAGCCCTCAGAGCTCCAAGAAGCCAGTTTAGGCTATATAAACCTCACTTCAGGCTATTTTGCATGGCTAGGAAAAGCGTGAGGACCAGATTACCATGTCTAAATTCCACTCTTCGTTAAGTAGCTGGCATGCTAATCTCCAAATTTGCGACAGGGCACAGTAGTGGGTTCCTTACCACCGTGACCATTAGCAAGTGGCCAACTCAAGTACAGGGTGGTTCCCATCTCAGCTGAAAAGGTGGCAGTTTCATTTTCTATTCTGCTCACTCAAAGAACTATGCAAAATAGGCCAGAATACTTGGTCACAATGCTGGAACACTGACCGCAAGTGGAGGAGAGGAAAGGAAGAATAGTGAATGAGATGCCAGATGGGTTCTTTCCCCATTCAGGGCTCAACAGTGTTAGGGTTTCACTTGTCTAATCCTGGAGAGGAATCTAGCTCTGGAAGCTGAGCCTGTGTCTTAAGCATAAGCAAAGTGTGTTCAATAAAACATTTTTATTCTGTACAATATATATATGTGTATTTAAATATATATGTATATTTATATGCAGAGAAACCTCAACCAACAAATCCCTGAGTCCATGGGAACCCAGGACACTAAAAAGGGAAAGGAGGGAGTCCATGCCCTAAAAAGTAGAAATATGGCAACATCTTTCCCTTTCCTCCAGGTTCCCTGCAACAGAGGGAAAGGGATGGTCACTGCAAATTACTAAAACAAGAGAGGACTTACGGGGGAGCAGGAAGTGGGGTGAGGGTGGCAGGATGGGGAGCTGTGGGTCAGGTCCCCAGCCACCACCAGTTTGGGAAAGGAAAACATACTGTTTGATCCAGCATTAAAACCAACAGATCACTGCAAAGGGGAGGACAAGACTGATTGACATGCAGCTGACCTTCGGTATGCCGAGCCTTCGCTTGGCAGCCCCACGCCTGGGCCAGCACAACAAATAGCACCTGTGGGGCCTATGAGAGGACAATCTGGGGAAATGGCCCTTGAGTGAAGAAGGGAACAGAGATAAAGCTGAAGAACAGGCCTCAGGTCTCAGCACAGGGTAGGAGCACAGCCACTAACTGTCCCTGTGCCATTTCTTCAGACCCTGGGCCACCAGATGGCCAGGAGCAGATGTCTTTTATCCACAGTCAGGTAGAGATGGGCAACTTACATGGCCTTGAGAAGAGGTATAGAAAAAGGAGTGCTTTCGAGGACCACCCCCAGTTGTTGTGACAATTCCTGAAGTGCAGGGACCACACTGGCGAATCATGCCCAGTCCTGACAGTGGGGCCGAGGTGGCAACAGTCAGCTCCTTCCAGTGGACAGGCCATGGGGTTGCACGGGTTGATGAGCCAACCAGGTGGACACAGCCGCTGAACACTGCCCTGAATTCTCCTGTCTTCTCCCTCAGGATTGCCCCTCCCTGGCCACACCAAACTTGGTACTGCTCCAGAAAGGTGGCAGGGAGCAAGTGGCAGAGAGCACCCCTCTCTCCCTAGCCTATTAATACACAGAGCCGCCAACATGGGGCAGCGTGGCCGGAAGTCACCTTATGTATTGTAGGGACAGCAATAGAGCTGTGCCTGCCTGGAGGAGTTCAGAAGCCCATGTTGGCCTGGGCCTCTCCTGCTGCAATGGCTTGCACATCAGTGACATGGCCGATGCCCTTGGTGACACCCTCCCGGAACAGCAGCTTGGCACCCACCTTCAGGTACTCTGGGTGTTTCAGGAAACGGAAACGTACCACTGCCTTCTCCCCTGTCCGCAGCTTGTCCTGCAGCAGATACGCAGTCACTGGCTCTGGCCAGTGCCTCCTGTCCCATTCTCTACCAGCTTTGGCTCTCCACCCTCAGGGGCCTATCAGGCTTATACCCACCCTACGTGGGGCTTTGTTCCCTTTGTGGGATCAGGGAATTCTCTAAGTCTAAGGTCAGACCTCCTTCCTTTCTGGAAGCAGGAGAGTTCTGATTTTTCCCTAGAAAACGGGGGTATGGCTGGGTCCCTCTCACCTTGGCATGGATCTTTTCCACCACTGCCGTCTGACGTACGTTGCCCACATGTACTGTCACCTGGAAGCCTCGCCGGAAGGTGGTGGCGTGGAACAGCAGGACTATTTCTGCCTCGAACACTGAGCAGATGGTGGGATTCATCTCAGGGCTCACCATCACCATGCCCTGGGGAGGCAAAGCCCTCAGACCCAGAAACGGCAGACCTCGCATTAGTCTCTCCCTCTCCAGCCAGCCCACAGCCTCTACAGCTTCTGAATTTTCTCTTTCTCTAGGACTATAAATGCAAAGACCTCAGAAGACAATATTCAAAACTCTCCTCTTAGAGGGAACCCATCATTACCCACCTCCCATGTCCTCTAACTCTTCAAATGCTTTGTATTTTGAGGCTCCAGGACACTCAGATTGCACCACAGTCATTCATATTTAGCGATCTGAACTTTATGAGTATTCCAAGCATTTTCATGCATGGATAGTCTGTGTAACCAGCTTCTTGGGTTAGAGACCATGTTTCCTTTGAGTTCCTCTGAAGCACCTGAGACAGGTGCTTCTCATTCACATAGCCAGTCTCCCAGGCACTTCTCTTTGTGTTCCCTCTCCAACCCACCCTCCCACCTTACCTTGCGAAGGAGTGCACGGTCAAATTCCCCGAGGGCCAATGTGGCAGCCTGACCAGCTCGAAGCACACGACAGGCAGAGCGGTTGCGCTGGATGCTGCATACTCTCAGCTCCAGGAAGCAGCCATCATCCGTGGGGCCCACCACCAGCTGGTCCCCCTCACGGCAAATCCCACTGCAGCCCAGAAGGCAGGTGGCACAGTGTGAGCCTAGCCCTCCTCCTCCTTTGCTACGATCACCCAGAGCACTCCTTCTTTCTAAGGTTGAATCTCTCAAGTGGGGAAAAGAGACCCTAAACTCTGACTTGGAGGGAGGGGAGATGACTGCCTCACCCCAGTCCAGAGTGCAGACTCTGACCGCTAATACCAGGAAAGGCACTGACAGCTGGCAAAGAGGTAACTGCTGGTTTGACACTGGACACCTGATCCCTGAACGAGCAAGTTATCCCCTTGGGTTTCATCCTCTGCTTTGGAAAGTCTTAAGGGAGCTCTCATGTCCCTACTTGGAGATGAAGTCAGTTGAATACATTCTAGTTTTTTTCCTGGGGCCCAAGACCCACACTTCTCTCTCAGAGGCCTGGAAATTCCCAGAAAGCAGCAATAATGTTTCTTCCCTCATAAGCCAATGGACTAGCTTTCTCTAGCTCCCTGGATAGTGAAAGCCCAATCTGGAAACAAGCACATCTTTTTGATGGGCCCTCTTCAACTCCCGGGGCTCCTTTGCGCCCCGATGTCTTCGAGTGACTGCATGGATATGTGAGGGGTGAGTGGGTGGGTAGCAAGCAAGGCAATTCACCTGGAAAGTGTCCCTCCAACAACTGTCCCCACCTCTGGTACTGTGTAGATTTCATCCACCTGAAGCCAAAGAAGATTCTCTCAATGGCCAGCCAAGCAAGGTTGACAGGTCCTCTCAACAGATTCAGGGCTCAGGCAGAATTAGTCCCTCCCAGTTCCCCAGCTCACTGCCGGTTCAGGCGGCCAATTACCTGGAACTCTGTGAGCTGCTGCATGAGTTCCTCCTGCTCTTTGCTATTGGTGAGTGGCGGCAGAATATTCAGAAAGACTTTGAGCAGGTCCAGACTCTCTCCAGACACGCTGGACAGTGTGAAGATAGGGGTGACACTGTAGAGGGAGGCATGCAATGAACAGTTGAGGAAAGTTCTAACAGGAAGCAGGGGCTAGAGCCACATGTGAGGAAACGTGAACTGCTCTCTGGGTGGTTAGGGGCCCTTCTCTCCTATCTGCTAACTGTCTCAGGAGCTCTTGGCCCTCTCTCTGCCAGCCAGCCAAGGAATGCAGCACATGAAGCTGATCCCAAAGCCCAAGGGAGATGGCAAATGCCTGGCACAGCACTTCATCTCCAGGGTCTCAGGCATCAGCAAAGCTCCAGGCTGGCTTGGGAGAAGGGCCAAGCCCTTTAGCAAAGACTCTCTCTCACAATCCTAACCTGAAAAATCACGGAACTGAGCCAGAACTGGTCTGGTTCTTGGGGGGAAGCCACGCTCCTGGGCCCTGTGGCAGCCTTCCCTGTGGATCAGGGCTCTGGGTGAGAAAGGCTTACTTGGGGGACTGGGCAAACTGCTGGGCAGCAGTGACAGCATCATCCTCGGAGGTGACCAGCATGGGGACCTTGTGGCAGCCAGGCTGCTTGAGGACCCGCTCTAGCTGCCGTACCGTCCTCTCCACTGTGGTCTTGGCACACAGGTCCACCTTGCTGACCACGATGAAGAAGGGCACTTTCAGGGCCAGGGCCAGCCCCAGATGTTCCCTTGTGGTGCCGGCTGCCTCAGAGAAGGCAGGCAGGCAGCAGGAGAGAAGAGTGAGAATGTGGGAAGGAGGCAAAGGAGCCAAGAGGAGAGTTCGTCTGGCTCCCAGATTTGAGGAAGCACAGGGTAGGACAGAGTGAGCACCCCCCTCCAGCCCCGTCCCTGTCCCAATGCGTCGTACCAATCCCAGTGTTAGCACTGACGAGGAGCAGGGCACAGTCGGGACAGTATGAGGTGAGGCCAAAGATGGTGGTGTGTAGGTACTTGTGGTGGCCTGCCAGGTCGATGAAGGTGATCATCTTGGAGCTGCTCTCACAGATCTCTTCTGCGGTCCGTGAGTCACTGTAATTCACCACCTGGCCCAGAGCCCAGGGCTCTCAGTGCCCCCTGCCAGCCTCCCCAACCCTTCAAGAGTCGCCAGGACCTAAACCAGTCCTTGGGTGACCCTAACTCATAACCCTGAGCCCCATTTCCGATTCAATTCAGTTGATTCCCCATTTGTTTTCTAAGGAGGCCAGAGCTCATTCAGTGCCCTCAGGGCCTTCATCTACGCTACTCCAAAAAGTCTCCACACTCTGCCCTCGGACTCTCCTTCACCACACCATCCCATCCTCAGAGTCCGGTCCCACTGGGTCCCGTTGATGCATGCACCTCTCCCTTGCTGTTAAAGCCCAGGATCTCGAAGCTGATGCTGGAGGTTCGGCCAGACTGAATCTCATGCAGGTGGCGGAAAAGGTTGAGTCGAGCCCGGCCCCGCCCATTGTCCAGCTCTCCCTGGGTCAGGACTCCAAGCAGAGTCGACTTCCCTGAGTCCACATTCCCCAGGACGGCCACACGGAGGTCTAAGAACTGTGGATGAATTGCCAGACATAAGGGCTCCACTCCCTCACCTCTTTCCACTGAAGGTTGGGTCAAGGGTAGTGACACTCCCTGGGGACCAAATGATGAACTGGACATCCATCCCCAGGATCCCAGGCCAGGGGAGAGCGTGCCACCACAGGGCCCTCCTGGGGAGCACGGGCGTGAGAGGCAGGGAAGGGTCTGTGCTCACCTGTTGGTTGTCAGGGACCTTTCGCACCAGCACCTCAGTGATCTTCCGGGGCACGTCGCTGTCATAATCTACTTCTCGCTCCCGGAGAACAGTGATGTCTGCCCCAACCCTGTCACAGCAAGGCCACAGGTGCCACATCTCAACTGCCATTCCACTCCACCCCTTTCCATTTTGGCTCTGGACCAATGGCCTTCCCACACCTCCCACAGAGCTCCCAACACCTTACTCTGCTTCCTAACACCCTCCAATCTATCCCACATCCATAGCTCCCTTTAAACCAACCAGCCAAACTCAAATCAAGGAGTAAAAAAGCCTAGGTCCAATGAGGAGGAGCCCAAAACACTAACCCTTTGTCAAGAGAAGGCAGTAGAAGGAAAGTCCCTCCTTGGCCCCTCAGGCCCTAGGTGACCAGGAAGGTGAGGGTCCTCCCCAGAGTCAGGTAAGGGAGAAGGGAGGGGAGCGGGGAGAGGAACATACTTCTCTGCCATCCGGTGCAGGGTCTTGAGGGAGGCCCGCATCTCCTCCTCAGCCAGCCCCACCAGCAGCCCATTGTCCTCTACCCCAATCTGGTAGACAGCCTCACCGCGGCCCTCCTGGAGCCGCCACTTCATCTGTGTCACCAGGTGCTCAAAGCGGTACTGGGATGGATTCACCAGCTTCAGCTTAGGCAGGTGAGGTATCACGAGAAGGTGAAATCAGAGATGCTCCTCCTACACCCACATGCTCCCCACCTGTCCTGCTGCCCAGGCCCAGGGTCTTCCCTTCCCACGTAAACTCCCTCATCCCTCACCCCCTCCAACAGTGAGTCCCCCTCCAACAGAATAAGGTATGGAGCCCTCACCCTGAACCACATCCCTAAATTGCTACAGATCATGAAGTTAGCAGCATCTCAGAGAAATCATCCCACACAGCAAGGACAACCTGACTCTCCCCAACCTAAGACTCACTTTATATTCGATGTTTCCATCTTCAGCCTGAAAAGAAACGGAGCAGTTTTACCACACACCATCCAGACCCAACCCCTACTTCCCCGATTCTCCATGGGGCCCAGGCAGCTAACTTGAGAGAGCAGAAAGCCTCAGCTGCACCTGCTTAGGCAGGTGCCTGCAAAAGGTCACTGGCAGACAAGCCCTCTACTCAGCCCCAGTGTGACCTCTCTGAAGGAAAGGTCTAAGAACATAGTGAGTCACCCATCTAAGCCAGGAACAGAACCCTGAACCCTCCCTTTCTTTCATCACTGGCAGCACATACTTCCTAGATGCAAGATCACCCCTTCCTTTTCCCCAGGGCCTCAAACTGCTGTCCCCAGAAGTCTACGTCTCTTCTGTGTCTAGGCTGCTGAGGCCATTCTCTGCCATTGGTCTGGGAGACACCATTTCCTTCCTGCCCACCCCTCTTAGCTGATGTCATCAAGAGTAAGATGCAAGAGGCTGCAAGAGGTTCTGGACCAGGGCCAAAGGGTGAGCTGAGCACTGGTCACTACAAGCCCGAGGAGAGAGGAGCCCAGGTGAGAGAGGCACAGGGCTCCAAAGTTGGAGCTGAGATGAAAAGAGGCTACTCAGAAAATGTAAGGAAGGGGGCAAACTCCACAAACCAGACTCAGTGTGGCTTTTACCTCATGTCCCTAACCCTCATGCCTCAGATGAGGTGTAATCCTGAATCCACCCCACAATCTCCTCTACCTCTTCCTTATATCAGGTGACGCAACAAAGAAGCATCCTGTTGCTTGAACCTTCCCCTCTTGGGTGCAAAGGGGTAAGAGATTTGCTTGTTCTGCCCGATCTGCATTTCTGCACTCCTCCTCCCTGGCCATTTTATTTTTCTTCTTCTGTTCCTGTCATCATTCCAACTCTTCATGGCCCTCTTGACTCCTAGGCTCTAACAGGTCTTCACCCATAATCTCCGCCTCATGGAATATAACGGAGATATTTTTCCATCCACAGAGACTTCCTTTATCACTTTGCTGGAGATGAATAATTAGGATGGATGGCTTCAGAAAAGTGGTACAAGGATGATGGTCTAGGCCGATGATTCTCAAAGTGTGGTTCTAGGACCAGCAGCACTAGCATCACCTGGGAACTTGTAGGACATGCAGATTATCAGGCCCACCTCTGACCTACTGAATCAGAAATTCTAGGTGTGGGGCAGCAATCCCGGTGATTCTGATACATGCTAAAGTTTGATAACCACTGGCTTAGGCTCTTCCCCTGGGTCCTCCTTTCCAAAGAGGGACAAAACAGCAATTATTCTCTGCCTTAGGGATAAATGAAAGAGGTATGTGGAGGCTGTCCCCACTTCCTCATAGGACAGGCAAAGGGCAGGAGGACCAAGTCTGACTGTTGTCTGGTTTTGTGTATACGTGTGTGTATGTGTGTGTACTCAAGGATAGAGACGGAACATATTGCTCTTTTCCTCGAGCACTCTCCTCCTCCTTATGGAACAAGTTTAGAAAACTCTGCCTCCTCGTCCCAGGATGCAGTCTGCCTTCTCCCGTTGCAGCACAGGGAGGGGGCCGGGGCATTCTCTTCAGCCCTTCCCAAGTGGATGTGGGTGGGATCCCCTTTCCCCACTTCTCCTCCTGGAGTTATCCAGATCAGAATGGGGGGGGGACCCTGGGGGGGGACCCTCCCCATTCTTCCTCCTGAGGTCTCGACACCAGAAAGGAGGTCAGCCCCTGTCCCTCCTCCTGGGGTCCTGGGACCGGAAGGAGTGGTTCTCCTCTCCCCGGGGGTCTTGACACCGGAAGGGGGTATTAATTCTCTCTGTCCCGCCTTCCTGGAGTCCCCGGACCGGAAGGAGTGGTTTCCTCTCACCCCGCCACTTCTCAACTGCTCACCTCGGGGGGCAGGTACGGAGGATTGTTGGCTTTGGCCCCTCTGTTCCTTCCGTTCTTCTTCTTCCCCTTCGGGCCCCCACAGCCACTGCTGCCGCCGCCGGCGCCCCTAGCCTTGAGGGTTCCGCCCACGGCCGGGCCCCCTCCGGGCCGGCAGCAGCCGCCGAACAGCTCCGATACCCGCGAGTCCATCCGCCGCTGCCGCCAGCCCCCCGCCCGGCCCCTCCCCCCCGCCACCACCACCGCAGCCGCTGCCACTGCCGCCGCCCCTACTGCCACCGCCGCGTCGGGCCAGCCAGAGGAGAGCGGGGTGGGGCCCTGTGCAGACCACGCCCCCGCCCTCCTCTGCCCCCGGCTCGCGTCAGAAATAGCCGCGGGGCACCAAGGGATATAGAGTCCTCAAGCCGGGGACCTCCCGCAGAAGAGCTCGCCACCGCCCTACAACTCCCAGGAGGCATCGCGGCGAAACATGCCGCGCGGGGCTTCGGGACGTAGGCAAGCAGCGCGCCTTTGCGCGCAAAGGCCTAATGGAGCTGTAGTCTGGCTCCCCGTCTCCACGCTCCGAGCAGGTCTTTTCCTAGGGCCTCGGGGAATTTCAGAGCCCCGCGGCGTGGGGGTGGCGCAGTCACAGGAGGCGGAAGGTTTACATCAGAATCAAGCTTTTTGTACGCTCCTAGGTGCGGCCCCTTAGCGCGATCTCAGACTACAGGTTTTGAACCAGGAGAGCTGCAAAATTCAGGACTACAGGTCCCGCCACCCTGCTCGCTCCGCCCCTGCCTCAGTTTCTTCCCTGACAGCTGGCGTGCCGTCGGGGTGAGTCAGGGCGAATGCCAGAGCGAAGGCGGATGGTGGTTAGCCTAATTACGGCTGTTATTATTGCGATGATTATGCCACCTTTACACAGTAGTCACTGCTTTATTACCAGGTTGGCACCCTCCGGGGGCTGGTTTTAGTAGCCGGAGACACTCCGGTGGCCCCGACATGAGGCCCGAACCCATAAACCAGCCTCGCTGCCTGAGGGCTACAAGGATGCCCGCAGCGAGTATTACCCCTCCTCTTTGTTTTGATGCAGAACCAATCCGGGAGAACCGAGTTTGGTTTTAAAACAGTCAGAGCTGTAGGAGGGGCCTGGCCCCTACTTGGGGCGGGGCTGGGGTTCGGGTTACGTCAGCCATTGCGAGGGCGGGGGAAGTGGTTGGGAATAGAAACTTGGCCAAGGGCCCCAGGGGAATACAGTACTGACTTTAAACTTTCCTGCTAAGCCATCTCTCTTGCTCTTTAGGGCTCTTGCTAGTCAGCAAAGAGTAAACACACTCAGCGACCTAAACCAGGGTACAAGACACTAAAAAGGCAGAGTGGAGAAGCAGTTAGTGTTGCTGGGCTGGGAGTCAGGACGCCAGGGTTCAATTACCAGCCCCCGTGGCTGTCTCATGATTCACCACTCACCATACGTCCACTTCCTCTCTTCACAAACAGCGACATGCTCTCACACAGCCAAGAAATAAAACAGCCCTTCCCTCCAGACCTCAGTTTTCCCTGGAAAACTAGAAGCAGCAACAGTGGCTTACCTCTGGTGATCCTTTCAGGGGTTCAGACCTGGTAGAGTCCATGGCTTTCCCCTAACACCACAAGGAGAGAGGCAGGTTGCTGTAGATCATGTAGTTGCTGTCCATATGGCATACCTCTCCAAAGCAGTGGGAGCAGAAGGACCAAAATCTGCAAAAGGGGCCTAGCAGACCCAGCCAATTATGTGGTCTTCAGTGGTTGAAAGCATATGTGACTTCTCTTTTCTGAACCCTGTTCATCTAAATAAAGGTTATGCCGCAGAGGTCAACCCAACAAGGGGCACAGTTCCGCCAGGGAAACTGCTGCTTTGAGGCTGAGACTGAAGAACTCAGTGAGAGATCTCAAGAAGCATGGGGATTGGAAGGGAGAGTTAAGACCATTCCCCCAACATTCTCACCACCACCAGCTCTGGTCTCTCTTGATAACCAGGGCCTGCTGCAGTTGCCTGATAACGCTTGTCCTCTCATCTTCATGGACCTTTCAATCAACTCAACACACAATTTCACTTCTTCCATCCCAATCCCCTTGTCTCCTAAGTGAAGAACTTCTTTGAAGAGATAGGAGGGGATAACCCATTCTGATACCCCATTCTTGAACAACTTGGCTTACCACAGACAGGAGTGGAGGCTGGCAGGGGAGTAGGCTGAAACAGGGATGTCTGTCCAGGGGAAGATCAGGGTATGTGATGTATGTGGAATGTGGTATTTGTGTTTAGTTTCCTAAAGGTGTTACTTATGAGGTGGTTGACTGTGGGATATGTATACACACACACACACACACACACATACAAACATTTTTCATGGTATGTAATTAGTCATTTATTCTATGTGTATAGTACATTTACATAAGTTTTAAACTCAGACTTAGCGATCTTTCTCTTTATACTTTCTTGGTTTTGTGTCATGCCTAGGCTAAAACCACTCCTTGATTATGAATTATCCCTCAATATTTTCTTCTAGGAGTTTTGAGGTTTATTTTTGTGTTTAGATCTTTAATCCATTTGGAATTTACCTTTATGTAAGATGTGTGGTAGGAATTAATTTGACTTTTTTTTTCTTCTAAATGGATAGAGAGTTGTCTCAAGTTCTTTGCTTTGAAAAGTCACCCTCATTGTATACTAAAGATCTAAATTTCTGGATTTTTTTCTGTTTTATTATTTGTTTGTTTATTCCTGAGCCAGTACCACAGTATTGTTAAAGAGAAAAACCACAGACCCAAAATGGCATCACTTGTGCTAAAACCTGTGATACCAAACCTAGATTTAATACTCACTAACCTAACCTAACCTAACCTAACTGCAGTTTCAACCTTCCCCTGAAATATAACCATAAGCAACCAGTCTGAAATTTTCTGGTTAGTACCAATGAGGTAGTCTGTCACAGGGCACTCTCCATTCCTACCCCCTACCCCCAGGAAGGAGAGGCAATCTGCATGATAAAATCCTAGCTAATCCCTCCCCCCCACCCCCCCAAAGAGAAGATGCCCTGGCCCCAAAAAGTCATTTTTTTCTCTTTTACTAATAATTTCCTTGCCCTACCCTTCTTCCTATAAAAACCTTCCATTTTCTATAAGTCCTTAGAATATCTCTCGGCTTACTAGATGAGATGCTGCCTGATTCATGAATCGTTTAATAAAGCCAATTAGATCTTCAAATTTTCTTGGTTGAATTTTGGTTTTTAACAGTATTTTAATCGTTGTACTTTTATAGTATGTTTTTATCTTTGGTCCCCACTTCCTGAAACACACCCTTTTCTTGGCCTCCATGACCTGACACTTGTTTATTCCATCCTCCCCCGCCACCCCCACCCCTGGGCCATGTGTCTATTTCTCTTTATACTTCTGGGGCTACTCCTCAGTCTCCTCCCCAGGTTCTTCTCTCTGCTCATCCCCTAAACAGTAGTATCTTCAGGAACCCAGCTCATCCTCATTCTACACACCCTCCCTGGGTGATCTTATCCACGTCCATGTTGATGACTCTCAAATACATGTCTCTATTCCTAATGGTGTTCCTAAACATATCTTCACTGTCCAATGGAATAACAAACTCAGCCTATCAAAAACTGAACTTATCTTTTCTCCTTACCCACACACCAATAAACTTGGCCCACCTCTAGTGTTCCTTCCTTCATTGAATGGCACGACTGGCCATAGAGTTGCTGAAGTCAAAAACCTGCTTGTCTTCCTGGCAATCTCTTTCTGTTTCTCCTCCTCTTCCTGGGATCAACCACCAAGTCAAATCCATTGGACCTCCTAAATATCTCTAGGGTTCACCCAGTTCTCTCCTCCTCACTAGTTCAGGCCTCTTTCACCATCCACTTATGTAATTGCGGTAGCTGGTAAGAGAGGAGGCAGCTACAGTGGTAGCTGCCTCCTCTCTTACCCTCCCCGTAATCTAATCTCTACACTGCAGCTGGTGTAGAGATTAAATTTATAAAATGTAAATTTAATCAGGTCGCTCCCCTACTTAAAGCTTTCAAAGCTTCCCCACCCCCCTACAGGATCAAGTTCAAATTCTTTAACATGACTTATAAAGCCTTGCCATGAAGTGGCTCCTGTTTGTCCACCACAGCATTACTTGGATGGCACACAGTCTTAACTCTTTATAATCTGAACTCTTTTCATTCCTTGAATAGAGGATGCTCTTGTCTCTGGAGGTCTCCAGGACCACTAGGCCTTCCTCTTTACATTTACTCATCCTACAGGTCACAGTTTCTTGGACACATTTCCTCTGGGAGCACCCCTCACTCCCATCCCATCTAGATTAGGCGTCCTAGTTCTTCGCGTCCACAGCCCGTGTACACCCCACAGTAGAATTCATCACATTGTGTTGTATCTATAGGCAGCGAACCCGTTGAGGACAGCGCCTGCCTCCGGCTTGTTTGCTGCCGAGTCTCCAGCACCTAGGACAGGGCCTGGCACGAAGTAGGTGCACAGTGAATAATGAACGCAGGAGAGAACGCATGCGTGAGGGCAGGCGTCCCCTGGAAGGCAGTGCCCAGTGGCCAAGAGCGCGTGGGTTCCCTGTCGAGGAAGGGCTCGGTATCTCCGTGCCAGCGAGTTAAAGAGAAAGCACGCGGCTCTAATCTCAGCACAGCCCAGCCCAGCCTAGCCTAGCCTCCACCCCAATGCGACGGCGCCACGCCCGCTTCCGGCCCTGCCACGCCGGAAGTGGAGGCGCGGGCTTCCCATGATACCCCGCGGGGCGCCTATTCAAACCGCACTGAGAGGAGGGAGGAGGTCGTGATGGCGGCACCGGAGCCGGAAGTGCTGTCCCCGGCCGCAGTCCCTGGTAAGGCCTGGGGTCCCGAGGTCGGGGACCTATTTCGTCCCTGCTGCCGCACCCTCTAGTCATTAGCTCCTGGCCCTTTCTCTGGCCCGTCTTCGTTGTCCCCGTTTCCCGGCGTCCCTCCCGGCTCTGGTTCCACTCTGTCTTCCTCTCAGCGGCGTTCTGGACTCCGCTGGACTACATTGTCTTTCAGCTCATTTCCCCGGATCAGGGCCTCCACTTTCTGAGCGGAGCCCCAGTCGCTGCCTCCGAAATTCACCCCGCTCCTTTTATCCGGCGGTCACTTAGATCACCTCAGGCGACTGGGATCGCGAGTCTCCCCACTGTCGCCCACACAGGAGTTTGCGGAGGGAATGTGCTTGTGTCGGGGTGTCTCCTCCGCAGTGGTGGCCGGTATGGCCACAAAGGAATGAGAAAACCGACTTTGGCCTTTAAGTTTTTCATTTTTCTCTCTTGTCCCTCTGTGCACCTGCTAGATTTGGAATGGTATGAGAAGTCGGAGGAAACCCACGCTCCTCAAATAGAACTACTTGAGACCACCTCTGCTCCACAGCCTCCCAATCCTTCGGAGCCCTTTTGCCCCAGAGACTGCATGGTGCCAGTGGTGTTTCCCGGGCCTGTGAGCCAGGAAGGCTGCTGTCGGTTTACTTGTGAACTTCTGAAGCATATCATGTACCAACGGCAGCAGCTCCCTCTGCCCTATGAACAGCTTAAGCATTTCTACCGGAAACCTTCTCCCCAGGTAGGCACAGGTGGGGAGACTTTGTGGCTGTTACATGTTAGGCAGGTAAAATGGGGGGTCTAAGGAATCTTCAGGGCCTGTCGGCCTAAGCAGCTGTAGGAATGTGACTCAGCTCCATGGCTTCAGTCACCTTCTCCCCACTCTGCGCTTTGATAGGCTGACCCTCCTGGCGTTTTCTCTTCTTTTTTCTGAAACTCCTATTGTGTATTGTATTTGGATTTCATGAACTGACCCTTTAATTTTAGTGTCTTTTCTCTCCAAATTTTCATCTTTTTGTTTTTCTGTCCTACTTTCTGGTGGACTTCCTTGACTTTGTATTCTAACGCTTCTATTAATTTTTTCTTTTTTTGGCAATCACGGTCTTAGAAGCTCGTTCTTAAGTTTTGCGTGTACCTTTTTAATGGCATCCTGTTGTTTCATGTCTGTATGAACTTCTCTTACCTGAGGATGTTAATTATTTTATTTTTGAGGTTTTCTTCTGTTCCTTGCAGTGTCTCAGTTTCTTCCAGATTCCTTTTTCTGTTTATTTGTTTTGGTCTCTGACTTTAATGGTAGAGGCTTTTATTTTGTGTCTGGTGAATATTTAAGAATAAGTCATGGAAAACTGTGTGTGTAGCTGGGCCTTGTGAGCTGATAGATTTTACTCTAAGAATAGTGGGTGGGAATCTAGCAATCTCTTTGGGGGACTTCCAAAACATCAATATCGGAAAGTCTTCTCTCTGGGTGGAGGAACTTGGCAGGTGATCTGAAGCTTCTCACACAGGTTTTCACTCAGTCCGCCTTTGTTCACTCTTGCCTTCTGTGTCTAAATTGCCAATTCTTGAGGCTCTCTGGAGTTCTCAGTGTGAATCAGTTTGCTTCTTGTGGGAGTCCCCTCTGCAGCACTTGGTATTCAGCTCTCTTGAACTCTTTCGTCGGCTTTCTCTCTTCCAAAAATTTGTTGTTGCCTTCGGCCACTGTTGTCTATTCACCGGTTCTCTGTGTTCTTGGGAGTTCTCCTTCTCTCTCCTCCCTCCCTTCCTCCCTTCCTTTCTTCCTCCATTCCTTCCTCCCTTCGTCTCATTTAGTACTATTTCAAATGGGAGCGCAAATAAGCATGTATTCAATTTGCCATGTTTAACTGGAAGACCAACTCCAGAATCACTTTTATTAGACAAAATTATCGTCATTCTTGTTATCACTCCCAACACAGCAAAACTTTGCCACCTGCCATGCCACCAAGTCTCTTTGACTATTTTGGTTGCTTATTGCTGGGTGCCTTCCTGCTTCAGAAAACTGTGTTTGCTGTTCTAAGCATGGGAGAATTATGGTTTAGTAGAAAGAATATATTTTCCTTTTTGATATATTTCCCTCTGATAAAACCGAAAGTCTTAGCCATGGAAATTGTCTCCTTTGTCTATTACATCCCAACAGCATTCTTCAGAGGGCATTAGCTTCTCCCTACCTTGTCCTTCTTTCTCACTATTCTTTGTCCTCACAGGCAGAGGATGTGGTGAAGAAGAAACCTCGAGCCACTGCTGACATGGGCAGCAGGAAATGCCAACAAGCCCTGGCAGAACTGGAGAGTGTCTTCAGCCACCTAGAGGGTCTCTTTGCCCGGACACTAGTACCACGGGTGCTTATTCTCCTTGGCGGCAGTGCTGTAAGTCCCAAGGAGTTCTATGAGCTTGACTTGTCCCGCTTAGCCCCCAACAGCATGGACCAGAGCCTGAGCACGGCAGCTTGTTTGCGTCGTCTCTTCCGAGCTATTTTCATGGCTGATGCCTTCAGTGAGCTGCAGGCTCCTCCGCTCATGGGCACCATCGTCATGGCACAGGGGCATCGCGACTGTGGAGAAGATTGGTTTCGACCCAAGCTCAACTACCGAGTGCCCAGCCGGGGCCACAAACTGACTGTGACCCTGTCCTGTGGCAGAGCCTCCATCCCAGCCACGGCCTGGGAGGATTACATTTGGTTCCAGGCACCAGTGACACTTAAAGGCTTCCACGAGTGAATGGGGGTGCTTCTTAATCGTGAACACAATGGCTAAATTATCTTCTCCGCTGTGGCACCAAGTCGCTTGTCTCTTGCTTGGAGCTAGAGTTGCTTCCAGGTGAGAGGAAGGTACTATCCTTCTGGCTGCCTGCCTCCCCTCCTCGGACTTCCTGGAGGGTTGATGGTATGGCTGTGGCTGTAATAATCATCATTGAACAACGTCTCTGAATCAAAGGTTGATTTTCCTGGTGGGTGCTGGGTCAGGTGTGTCTGTTTGGGGTTGGAAAGCAAACTTGGGCCCACAGACAGACACTCTTATGGAGGTGGCCACTTTCTGCTTTTTGCTGTGGCCTTTCAGAATTTTTAACAGGGACATGATAATGTGAGTGTGACTCATGAACTTAAATATAAAATGAATGAATTCGTATTAAATTTTCCTGAAACTCTTTTGGCTTACAGAGATTTTTCAGGCTTGAGGCTGGAGTATTTTGTCTTTCTCCTTGGCCTCTATGCTTCAGGACTTGCAGGGTTTTTTTACTAGTGGTTCTTTCTCTTCATCAGCCCCAGGCCAGTCTGGGAGGTTCAATGACTTGGCCAAGGTTCTATAATAGTTTGATATCAGAGTTGGGGCTAGAGTCCTCAGCAGCTGAGTCCTAGCCCAGCCTTCTTTCCTCACCACAACTGGGTTTTCTGACCCTTAAAGTATATGTGCCCAAAGCAGAGGTCATGCAGGGGAAGGGGCTGAGAGACTGGGCTGAGAAGAGAAAACTGATTGAATTGTAGGCTAAAGCCCCAGGACTGCCCTGTGGGATCAGCTCCCTGAGGCCAAGTGTCCCTCCTGGAGTTCTGCCCAGCCTGTCTATTGCAGTTATCTGGCGGCTGCTGTCAGTTGCTGTTGGCAATGTTGTCATTAGGCAAACCCTGCCCTCCTGCCTGTGGCAGTTCCTCCTCAGCTACACCTCTGACTTGGCCATCCTGATCCTTGCTGTTATCCTCTCCGGCGTGGTGCTGTCCTTACCACTAAGCATTGATGTTTTGTCCCTGAGAACACCTGCGTATTTCTGGAAACAAGTTGAGACAGAATCCTTACCCTGCTGGTGTTGGAGATGTGTGTGTCATGTGTGTGCATGCGTATAAATGGGGACAATATAAATATTTGTTATTTTTTATGTTTTAAGAAGAAGGAATGGGGGCTGGCCCTGTGGCCTATTGGTTAAGTTTGGCATGCTCCACTTTGGCAGCCCAGGTTCGGTTCCTGGACACGGACCTACACCACTCATCGGCAGCCATGCTGTGGTGGCAACCCACATACTAAATAGAGGAAGATTGGCACATATTCAGGGCGAATCTTTCTCAAGCAGAAAGAGGAGGATTGGCAACAGATGTTAGCTCAGGGCAAATCTTCCTCAGCAAAAAAAAAGGAATGAATATGTTTTGTGTTTTGTTCAGAAAACATAAAAAATAGTTTATATTTTATACTATGTTTTAAGCACTTTAACTACATTATCAAATCTAACAACCTTACAAAGTACATATTGTCCCTGCTTTGTAGATGAGGCTTGGGGAGACTGAATAGCTTGCCTGAGTGGTGAAACCTGGATTCAAACCCATCTCCTGAGGCTGAGTGCTTCACACTATGCTGTACACCCTGTGTGGTTTTACTCTGAAATAATGCAACTCTGCCGAAGGTGGCAGCATGGGACAGCTGCATGATCCCCCTCTCTGGCTTCAGGTTATGGTTCCTGACATGGAACCTGCCATTAAAAGGTGCTGAGTAAATATGGAATCAGTGAAAACAAAAGGTTTGGGTTCTTTTCTGTGCATGACCACTTAAAGAATATTCTGTCAGCTAGAATTTCGGCTGTTTTCCTGTCTGATATTACCTTACAGAGGAGGAATAGGGCCCTATCTCCCACTTGGGAAGGGACAGGCTGAGAGGTCTGATTGGAACGAGAGAGTTATAAATTGTTTGAGTTGGAAGACATATTAAGCCAAGTTGGCTCCCTCAAATACTAATTTTAAAAGCCTTCGTAAACAACGCCTAGACAATCAAAGCAAGGTAATTATCTTGGTAATTTAGGACATTTAGTTCTCTGTTAGCGTTGGGCCCCAGGTCATTGTGATTTCATGAGTCCTCACCAAAGGAATCCAGAAATTAAAAGATCAGTTAGTTAATAGTATGAACAATAACTCCCATCTCCTTCCCTGACAGCAAGCTTGCTGAGGCGGCTGTTGATCAGTTTGCCTTGGCTGGGGCCTCCAGAGGTAGGTGTGAAGAAGTGATCTCTAGCCCAGGCAGTGAAGTGCCCCAGCTGCAGTGGGGTCTGGGCTTTCATTTGTTGCTACCATTTGGGCCTAAAAGCAATGGTTGTGGGGCCCAAGGTAGGGAAATGTAGGTGGTGGTTGATGGGACAGTGTAGTCTGTAAATGTCATCCTTTTTGTACCCCTCTTCGCACCCTGCTTTCCCAAGGTGTGGCCCTATTCCTTGCCCCACTGCCTAGGTCTCCACTTGCCGCTTAGGTGGAATAGTCCTATGGGAGGGGTAAATGAAGGGACATCTGGTGAAGATTGAAGAGAATGGAATGCATGGACCCCATTCTGTAAGACCTGGATTTGGGGGGAATGAATTTTCTTAGAATGCTAGACTTTTAGAGCCAAGAAGATCTCAAATTCTTTTCTTCACAGATCATTCTGAGGCCAATAAGGGACACAACTGGAGTGAAATAATACAGCTAGTGTCACTGCATATAAAGTGAGGACTCAATAAATGTCGACTATGTGGAAGGGCTCAGGAGAAGCAAAATACAGTAGTTTCCCCTTATTCGTAGTTTTGCTTTCCACTGTTTCAATTATCCCCAACGGTCAACCGCAAAGCAGGTGAATTTGTCGTTAGGTCAGTAGTAGCCTAACGCTACTTCACAATGCCCTCCTCTTTCTCCTCCCTTCATTTCATCATGTAGGCATTTTATCATCTCACATCATCATAAGGATGGGTACAGTACCATAAGATGTTTTGAGAGAGATGGCATATTTACATAACTTTTATTACAGTATATTGTTATAATTGTTCTATTAAGTTGTTAATCTCACTGTGCCTAATTTATAAAACTTTATGATAGGTATGTATGTATATGAAAAATCGTAATATGTATAGGGTTCCTTACTCTCCAGGGTTTCAGGCATCCACTGGGGGTCTTGGAACGTGTCCCCCACAGATAAGGGAGGACTACTATACCCTGGGAATTGGCCTGGGTTGGAATCCAGGGTTAAGGGAAACCGGGCTGTTGCTGTGACAACTGAACAAATCTGCTTCCAACTCCGCAAAGGAAGAGGGGAACTAGTGTACGTACGCCCAGGCTTTTCCGAAGGGCAGGGTAGGGAGAAGGGCCGGCCGGAGGCTCTGAGAGGGCTGGGCCGCAGGCCGTCAGGCGGGTGGAATCCTGCTGCCCACCTGCCGGGAGGGCGGAGCTTCGGGTCTCCACGGACACGGCTTCTCCTAGCAACCTGGCGGGCGTTGAGCTGAGCCGCCGGGGCGATGGACGCCGAGAGCCTCCTGCTGTCGCTGGAGCTGGCGTCCGGCAGTGGGCAGGGCCTCAGTCCGGACCGTCGGGCCTCACTGCTCACTTCCCTGATGCTGGTTAAGCGCGACTACCGCTACGATCGGGTCCTCTTCTGGGGCCGCATCCTCGGCCTCGTCGCCGATTACTACATCGCGCAGGGCCTGAGTGAGGACCAGCTCGCACCGCGCAAGACACTCTACAGGTGGAGGCAGCGCCCGGGTGGGCCGAGGCCGCCGCGGGATGCTGAAGGGAGGGCCAGAGGGGGCCGGGAGGGGCGGGGCCTACGCGGTGGAGGACGCGGCTGGACTGGGTCCGAGGAGGAGGGAATGGGGAAGGGCTGAGGGGCGGGGCCCGGGACGGAACGAGACGGTTGAGGATTAAAGGGGACCTGAGCACAGAGCAGAGTCTGAGGCGCTGGGGAAGTGGTGGGCGATGTGCAAGAGGGCGGGGCCCTGGGAGGACGGGCTCTAGGCAAGGGGTGGGGGGAGTGCAAGGGAAATTTAGAGGCCAGTGGGTTTATAACAGAGGCGCCGCCAAGAACAGAGGCGGAGAAAGGTGAAAGTTCCTGGAGAATGGCGACCTGGAGTAGAAGCCAGGTGCCAGCCAGTGCGGGGGCTGGCATTCCGAAGAGCTCAGTTTGGAGGAGGGTCAGAAGCCCCGGGGGTGGGGGTGGTGTGGTGCTGTTTGGAAGTGGGTCCAGAAGCATCGTCAATGGAGTTGTTGTTGGCTGTTGGCTCACGGCAGGAGGCGCTCTAGGAAGCAGTGAAAGAATACGGAATGGGAGAGAAGGGATGTAGAACTGGGAAAAATTCCCTGGACACTACCACGCAGGACCATCCTGCCTCTTTTTGACCACCTCCAGCGATGGTGGGGAGCTCAGTGCCTTACAAAGCAATCCATTCAGACCACAGAATTGGAGACTTCATTTATCTATCCATGCATCAATCCAATGTTGGTTGGACACATTCTGTGCTAGACTTTGCTTACAAAGATGGCTAAGACTCACCCCTGTCTCCAAGGTATTCACATCTTGGGAGGGAGACCGATGGGTAACCCAGTAATTTCAGCAAAAATGTGTTAAAACTAGAACAGAGGTGTATACTAAGGGGGACCAAGGCAGGGCATTCTCCTAGAGAGGAATTAAATAAGGTTACTAAGGGAGTAACTTCGTTGAGATCTGAAAGATGAGGAGGAGTTCTCCAGAAAGGTGTGGGGAAAGGCATGCCAGTTAGGGGGAACAGTTCTGCACACTTGTTGGCTGGAGCGGGCTGGGTGTGTTTGGGAGAACAGTAGGTAGGTAGACATAACAATGGCAGCCGAGGGTGTTATGTAGAGCTGGATGGAGGCCGATGGGGTTGAATTTTGTCCATAGGTTGTGGGGAGCCATCGAGGGATTTAAACAAGAAGAGCCTGCTCAGATCTCAGTGGGCAAGATGGCCTGGCAGTGGGCGAGCATTTAGGAGTCTGTTGCAGTGTCCAGATGAAGGGGTCTGAAAGGAAGAGGTAGCTGAAGGAACGGAGGGGAGGGGATAGGTTGGAAAGATCTAACGGGTAGACCTGGAAGGACTCGTGACTGTCTGAACGGGCAGAAGGTGAAGAAGAGGTCGAGGTTGACCCCTCCTCCCAGCTTAGGCAGCTGGGCAGGCGCTCACGCCACTCACCGTGAGAGGATTCGGGGAGTAGGGCCAGGGAAGACCTAGGGAATTTGGTGTGAGGTGCCTGAGGGGTTGGTAAGGAGGCATGTTAAAGTACAGCTGAGTAGTCCAGAAGAAACATTTGGACTGAAGATAGAGATGTGGCACTCCATTTTTCCCCATAAGTTTTTATTTCTTCAGCACCTACTATGTGCCAGGCATGTGCTAGGCACCAGGAATTCAATGGTAAATGAGACACAGTCCTTGTCTTCATGAAGCTTACATTGTAGTATGTGTGTAAGGGGAGGAGAAACAGACAATAAATACACACACACATATTACATGTCAGCTGGTGTGCTAGGAGGGAGAGAGAACACAGGATGGGGCACTATTTGGTGGTCAAGGATGGCCTCTCTGATAAAGTAACCATTGAGAGGAGACCAGAGGCAACTGAGAGAGTGAGCTCTGTGTTTATCTGAGAGAAGAGAATTCCAGGCAAGTGCAAAGGCCCTGAGGCAGACATGTGCTTAGGGTGTTTGTGGAACCCCATAGAGGGTAGTGTGGCTGGAGAGGAGTGAGTGAGGGGGAGCATTGTCGGATATGAGGTCAGAGAGGTAAGGGACTGAAGACCATCATGCAGGGCTTTGTGGAGCATTGTGAAGAGTTGGCTTAATGGGAAGTCACTGGAAGTTTCTGCACAGAGACATGGTCTGGCTTAGGTTTTAACAGTTGGGTGGGAACTAGACTGAAAGGGGAGCAGGTATGGAGGTGGGGAGACTGGTTAGGAGGCTACTGCAATATCCAGGCAAGAGGAAACGGTAGCTTGGACCAGGAGGGAAGCAGTGGAGGTGGTTGGATTCTGGATACCAACTAGGCAGTAGCTGTGAGTGAGTAGCTGAGTCAGGTGGGTGAGACTGCAGAGAGAAAAGCCGGGTGGGAACAGATCCCTGGAAATACTTAGGACACTGGAGGAGGGAGAAGGGAGATGTGAGAGGAAATAGAAATGGAAATGCATTTGTTGCCTTTTAGGTCCCATGGATCACACTTTCTCCTAAGCGGTCTCTAGGGGTGGGGGGTGCAGAAATCACTGTGCAGTGGGCAAAGAGTGAAAGCAAGGGGGCGGAAGGGCTCCCGCGGGGCAAATTATTGTTCTGAAATTGTTGCGCAGAGTTCTGGAAGAGGAGGGAGGGACAGGAAAAGGGCATTTTCTAGAGAAGCATGGATTTGAGGGCTGTTGTTTTAGAAAGCTGAGTTGTTTTTATGTTGAGAAGGAGCCAGTGGAGAATAAAGGGCAGGAAGATGAGCAGAGACCAGGCTGGGGACACAGGCCCTGAGTGGATTAGAGAGGAGTGAGAGGCCCTCTCCGGTGGGAAGTGAGAAAGAAGGACTGGGCTGGCCAGTGCTCCTGAAGACCTCAGAGGACGGGAGGTCCTGAGCCTGGGCTGGGCTTTCCTGAGCAATGGCGGAAGATGGCTGTGCTGCTGGCTCAGTAGGCAGGTGGAGCACGAATCTGGGGCCCACCAAAGCGGAGACACCTGCAAATAAGGGAAGTTCAGCTTCCACAAACTCATCTGGAATCTCACAGTCTAGAAATCTAGGAAGAAGCTCTTGGAATTTCGGCATATGTGAAGTTTTTTTTTTTTTTTTTTTGAGGAAGATTAGCCCTGAGCTAACATCTGCTGCCAATCCTCCTCTTTTTGCTGAGGAAGACTGGCCCTGAGCTAACATCCGTGCCCATATTCCTCTGCTTTATATGTGGGACGCCTACCACAGCATGGCTTACCAAGCGGTGCCATGTCCGCACCCGGGATTTGAACTGGTGAACCCCGGGCCGCCAAAGCAGAATGTGTGCACTTAACCGCTGAGCCATCTGGCTGGCCCCCATATGTGAAGCTTTTGTGATCTTTTAAAAAATAAAATTGCATTTGCATCACATATGGGGGTGGGGTGCACCACAGGCACTTTGGGGTCCTAAGGGGAAAAGTGTGACTCCCAACAGCTTTTCTTGGGCCTCACCCCTCTGGAGAAGGGGCAGTGGCGGGAGCCTGAGGGAGAGGGGGAGTTGGAATCTGGGGTGATGCAGATGTTGTCGGCAGCCTGAACTGCATGGAGTGGAGCCTCCTGCCCCCTGCCACAGACGAGATGATGGTGCAGACATCCGTGGTGAAGGGCCGCTTCACGGGGGACCCCTCGCATGAGTATGAGCACACTGAGCTGCAGAAGGTGAACGACGGCGAGAAGGTCTTTGAAGAAGAAGTAGTGGTGAGTGACGACGAGAGGAGGAGGGGCTGAAAGAAGAGGGCCTGGGCCAAACCCAGCCCAAGAGAAACTCTGGCGGCAAAACATGACACACAGGTCCTGAGTGAGAGGGTGGAGAGTGGGTGGGCAGAGCCTGGCTCTGGGGCAGGGGCTGGAAGAAAGGGTCTGTGCTGTGCTCTAGGGTAAGCGAATGTGTACACGCTCTTATATTTTTGTATCAATTTTTATCTTACTAGATAATACATGGTTTGAAAGTCAAAGGTACAAAAAGGAATATAGTAAAGTTTGCCTCCCATCCATGTCCACCTGTCACCCAGCTCCTCTTTCTGAGGGACATTAATGTAACCTTTTTGAGTGTGTGTTGTGTCCAAATCTTGCTACTCAAAGTGCAATCTGGATCAGAAGCATCATGATGCCCTAGGAGTTAGAAATGCAGAATAATTGGGCAACATCAGCATCTGCATTTTAACACATTCCCAGGGGACTGGAATACACATTCAGGTGTGAGAAGCTCTGCTTCCAGAGACATTTGATGCAAATACAAACCTCAGCAAATGTCTTACCTCTACATACAGTTATGAGTCGGTTAACAATGGGAATACGTTTTGAAAAATGGGTCATTACACAATGTCATCATTGTGCGAATGTCACAGAGTGCACTTACACAAACCTAGATAGTATAGCCTACTATGCACCTAAGCTAATAGTACTAATCTTATAAGACCATTGTCATATACGCGGTCTGTCATTGACTGAAACGTCATTATGCAGCTCATGACTGTAGTCTCTATTTTTTTTTTTGTGATGAAGATTGGCCCTGAGCTAACATCTTTTGCCAGTCTTCTTCTATTTTATGTTGGATGCCGCCACAAGCATGGCTTGACTAGCAGTGCTAGGTCCTCGCCCGGGATCTGAACCTGTGAACCCCGGGCAGTTGAAGTGGAGCTCACAAACTTAACCACTACACCACCAGGCCAGACCCTAAAACTTTTTGTGTGTGTGTGAGGAAGACTGTCCCTGACATAACATCTGTTGCCAATCTTCCTCTATTTTGTGTGTGAGATGCTGCCACAGCATGGCTTGATGAGCAGTGTGTGGGGTCCACATTCAGGATCCAAACCTGCAAACCCTGGGCCACCAAAGAGGAGCACATGAACTTAACCACCATGCCACCAAGCTGGCCCCTCTTTTTATCTTAAAAAACCCCAAAACAAATGGCAGCATGTTATGCATATAGTCTTCACCTTGCTTTTTTCACCTAACAATACATTTTGAAGGTCTTTCTTTCTCAGTACCTTAAAGGGCCTCCCATTCTTTCTACCATTGTGTGAATGTACCGTAATTTAACCAGTGTCTTATTCGTGGAAATGTAGGTTTCCACATTTTAGCTCTGACAGGCAGTGCCACAAGGAAGGACCTTGCACAGACATCATTTCCAATGCGTGCAGTCTATCTGAAGGATCAATTCCTAGAAATGGAATTGCTAGATCAAAAAGTAAAGAGCCCAAGTTTTGAAACTAGACAAACCTGGAATTCAAAACCCAGCCTCTGCTCCTGAGCCTGGGTGATGCCAAAAGTCTGGGTCTAGGTCTGCGATGCCTCGGCTGCACCCCCCAGCCCCCCACACTGGACAAACTTAACTTGCCTTCAGTTTTATTTTCTGTAAAATTGGGATAATTATATTTACTTTGCAGGCTTGTGCAGATTAAATGAGATTAAGGACCCTGGCCTGGGCGCTTATTAAGTAATAGTTTCCATCTCTTCCTTTGTAAACAATCCCGGTGGGCTGCCCATGGGAAATCAGTGGCCGAGTGACTCTAGGGACTCCTGGTGACATGTTTTCCCTGTCAAGCGATGCTTTTTCCCAAACAGCTTTTTGAAGTCCTTTAGTTCAGGTTTGCCCTTGATATTGATTGTCACCAAATTTCATCTGCATCAAGATGTTATAATATGGTGTGATGAGGAGAAATAGTATTAAGTCAAAGAGCAGGATGTGAAACTATATAAAATTTTGCTTTAAATATACACATAGAAAAAAAGAATAGAAGGAAGTATACTAATATGTTATCAGTGATTATCTTTAGGAGATGGGATTATGAGTGGTTCTCATTTTCTTAAGCATATTTAAAATATTTCTGTATTACCGAAATATTCTACAGTAAGCAGGACTGCTTTTGTATTTTAAAAAGGCAAAATAAGCAACATTTAAATATGGTGATAGGATGGTATTGTCCTGGGAGGATACAAAAGAAACTATTAATAGTGGTTATCCTCAGTGAGGGCAATTAGGGCACCAGAGATGGGGTGACAGAGACTGTTTTTTTGTAGTTTTAAATATTGTACCACCAGTATGGATTACCAATTTAAAAAAGAAAGAAAGAAAACTTGACAAGAGGGAAAGTGAGGGCTTGCCTAGCCAGTGATTTTCCATGGACCTGGCATCTACACTGTGGTGACCCAGAACAGATGGTTATGCAGAGGGCCCTTGGACCACGGGTGAGTGGGCACCAGCACCCTGGCAGGATGTCTTGCATCTCCTGTCTCCTCAGGTCCAGATCAAGGAAGAGACCCGCTTGGTGTCCATCATTGACCAGATTGACAAGGCTGTGTCTGTCATTCCCCGTGGTGCCCTCTTTAAGACTCCTTTTGGACCCGTCCATGTCAATCGGACCTTTGAAGGTGAGTTCTCTGGGGCCTCTCTCAAGGGCAGGAGGGCATCTCTTCCCAAACATAGTTTGGACACATGTCTGAGAGTTGAGGGAAACCTGCCCACTTCCTCAGAGAAGGAATAGGTGTGGCCACATCACTTGGGAGCATGGCCCAATGGCCTGGCATGGGTGGTTGGCATGGACCCCGACTCTTTTCTGCCTGAGGTTGGGAGAGCATTTGGCTGTCTGGGTCCCAGGGCTTTGCATGGGTCTGGGTTCCTTGCCTTTTTCCACCTTCCTCCTCTTTGGTCTCTCCTCATTGTAGGATCTGGGCCAAGTTTGGGCTGAGGGAACACTACTGCCTTTTCTCCCTTCAGTTCTCTGTCAGTAGTTGACTGAGTCCTTTGCAAGCCCCTCCATATGGTCCCTATGCATAGAGAAAGGGGGCTTTGGGGTTTGGGGCTGACCATCCCTTCCTACCTGCCATCTCTTTTTAGGACTGTCTTTGTCCCAAGCCAAGAAGCTCAGTTCCTACTTCCACTTCAGGGAGCCTGTTGAGCTGAAGAACAAGACCTTGCTTGAGAAGGCTGACCTGGACCCCTCCCTGGACTTCTTGGATTCCTTGGAGCATGACATCCCCAAAGGTAAGCCTATTACTTTGAGGACATTGAATCTGCACCCAGGTCAGAGCAGTGGGCCATGCCACCTGCTGTTCTTCTCTGAGAGTGGAAGCAATGGCCGGGGTAGGAATTGGTGGTTCACTGTAGGTCCTTGAGGGTGGGGCTTCCCAGGGCCCATATAGGGCTCAGCTCATAGTTGGTAAATGTGTGCAGACTAAAGGAAGGATTGTCTTCCATATGCTTCCAGAGACAGGAAGTCTCTCAGTGTCTCTTTTGATGTTCATATCAATCACGAATGGAGGCAGGTTAGGAATCTTCCCCCAAACATCTCTGAAAACACCCCTGAAGATAGTAGCCGTACATACATCTCAACTGTTAGTTTTGGGGTTAGATCCAGTGCTTGGCACATAGCTGGTGCTCAGTGAGTGGGTGCTGACTGACTTGCTAAGGAAATGAATTCTGCACATTTGCTTCCTGCTATGTGTGTGGTACTTTTTAATCTTCAAACATACAGCTTCAGAGGCTTTCCTGTGCTTCAGGGCCCACCTGGCCCAGGCACACACCAGCAGTTGGTGGTGGGGTCACAGAGACCCCATTTCTTTCCCCTGAGCCTCGCCAATAGAGAAGAGACTGTCCTAGGAAGAGGCTCTTGCTTGGCTGCTGTACCCCAGGAAGGTGCCAGGCTTTGGGAAATTGAGGGCCAGACCCAAGGCCCTGACTCAAGGCCTTTGCTTCTTCCCCTCCTCATGCAAAGATGTTCTGAGAACTGGAGGGGTCTATTGTTGATGATGACAATGACAATGATAATGATAATAACTCATAGAAGCAATGATGCTGCTTATTGTGTGCCAGGCACTGTACTCAACTCTCTCCATGACTTACTTCATTTTAACCTTCACAGCCAACCTATGAGGTAGATACAATTATTATCCCCATTTTACAGATGAAGAAACAGAGGCTCAGAGAGTTAAAGCCAAGGACACAGTAAGTGTTCGAGTGCTAGACTCCAGGGCTCTGGCATGAACTATGGTGTCAAGTAGATGGTGTTTCCTTTTAAGTGGACGATGGGGACAGCAGGACAACAATCAGCCTTTCCCCTAGCGGAACACCTCTGAGGAGCAACCAGCAACCCAGCTGGACTGGAACTTAGGAGTGCAATTGCAGAGGTGGTTAAAGGCCAGTGCTCTGGAATTAGCCTGGGTTTGAATTCTGAATCTGCCACTTACTAGCTGTGTGATCTTGGGCAAGTCCCTCAACTTCCTTGTGCCTCAATTTCTTCACTTCTAAAAGGGGAAGAATGATATTTTCTACCTCACTGGGTTGTTATGAGAATTAAATGAGTTAACACGTATACAAAATGCTTATAACAGTGCCTAACACATAGTAAGGACTCAAATAAAGATTAATAATTATTATTCATATTATTTTTAGTGGCAAAAAGACCTTAGAGGTGGGTTGGGCAGGCCTAGGAGGGCCTAGAAGGCCAAGGTGCAGGAGGCCTAGACCAAGGCAGTAGGAACATCTGGTGGCCTGTGAGAAGGTCTGTGATAATAAAGCAGTGGTGCTCGGATGGATGGAGGAGGAGCAAGCCAGGCGTCTGGAGGCCACTTCAGGGCTACTGCAGTGTCCTGGGGGCCAGTGATGGGTCCTGAGCGGGTCAGGGGTGCCAGGAAGGAATGGCTATTCTGGCCTCCGCCACAAGGGGGCACCCGAGTCAAGCCTACCTGAGCATAGAAAGGGGCTCCTGGACCCGTGGGGGAAATACAGAAGGTTTATAGGGGTTGGGCATTTCTCACCCATCAGACATACTTTCCAGACTCCTGTTATCTCACCCAACTCTGTGCTCCCAGCCTGGCCAGGAGCCAGAGGGGGCTGCACATCCCCCGTTGATAAAGGTAGCCAGGAACCCTCTGGTGGTGGGACCCAATGCCAGGGGCTGAGTGGTGGGCTGGGAAAAGTCCTCTTACTGTCCCTAATCCGGGGGCAGCAGCCTTGCCTCCTTGATTCAGGGTGTGGCTGGACAGCTCTGCTTGGTGCTGACTTCTGAGCCTTCTCACACGCAGCTGGATGCTCCAAGGTGGGTGGATAAGGCCTTCCCTCCACAGTGCTGGGGGATTAGGGGGGCTGACATAAGAGTGCCTTTTTCCCTTGCAGTGTGAGAGGCAAGGAGGGGGCCAGACTAAAGCCAGGGCTAGATGGGATGTGGGGGCCCAGCAAAGTCTCCCTAAGGGAACCCCCTTAGCCCCATCAGCCTTGCCATTTGGAATAAAGGGGACGCAAGAGGCAGCTCTCTCTGCAGCAGCGATGTAAGATATGGAGCTTTAGGGTTTTCCCAAAGGATGCTGGGGCCACACTGATGTGTCTAGTCGGCAAGTAAATTCATCAGGCCGCTGGGAGGTACAGGATCTGGGCCAGGGAGGTGGGTGAGTTTCATTGGCCTGAGGCCTCAGACTTCTTGCCCTAATGGTGGGCCTCAGGGCTCAAGGATTAGCTGACGTTCGTATCGCGGTTCACCCCAGCGTGTTGCTTTGTCCTCAGCGCTGAAGCCTTGGGAGCTGAGGGCTTCTGCCATCTCCTATGCATGTGGGCCCAAGGGGAGGGATGCTCCTGGCCTGACCTTGGGAAACCTTACATGTTTTGGGCCTCCAGCCCCCTTCCTTCCAGAGCCACCACCAAAAAGCCTCCAGGAAGTCAGGCCGAGCTTTTTCACATGATTGCTTGGTGGGCCCATGGTGTGAGGGTGGAGGTGTGGATGGTCGGGGGAGAGCAGACACTCTGATTTTGCTTCCAGACTCCCTTCGTTATCTCCCAGTGAAAGCAGGAGCGCTGGGAGGCAGACAGCAGCCTGAATGGCAGCCTGAATGGGCTGGCCTAAGTGGGGTGAAAATCCTTGGGACACCAGCACTGGTTGGAGAGATGGAATTTGGCAGCTGTTTTCTGCCCAGGTAGATCATTGTTTCCTTTCTGGGTCAGAGGCAACTGCTCAGGGGGACGTCATGTCACCTGTGAGCAGGTACGATTTAGGTTTCCCTATCCCTGGGACTCCTGCTCTCTGTGCCCATGGAGGTAGGCAGTTGCTCAGCAGTTTGTCCCTGGGCCAGCCTTGGCTGAGGATAGGGAGGGATGTCGCCTGGGGCCACTAATACCCTCCTGAGCTGTCCTGCCATGTCCTGGGGTCAGCCGAGTTTCGTGGGAGTGGGTAGCTTTGGGGGAAGAACCATACTCCTGGTGGATGCAGGGCACCAGTTAAGAGTTCTCTGAGCGTGGGCTGCAGCCAGGTGAGACAGATGGAGCACCAGGTCAGGAGGCCAGATTTCTAGGTAGTACTCTGCCACTCGATGCTCCTTAACCTTTCACTCCATCAGCAAATAGCCACTGAGCAGCCACTATGTGCCAGGCACTGGGGATGCCGTCGTGAACAAGACAGATACTGTCCTTGCCTCACAGACGTCTGGGAAGATCAAATGAAACAGAGGATGGGAAGTGGAAATGTAAAATAGAAGGTGCCTCACAAACAAAGTCCCTGGTGTCCTGGGAAGCAGCGAGGGGCAGGCAGAGCTGAGAGGGAAGCAGAGCGTGAGGGGTGGAGGGCAGGGCTCCCATCCTTGCTCCACCCTGGGCTGGAGCTGGCAGATCTCAGGAAGTGCCAGGCACAGGGCCTCTGGGGTTCCAGCACACAAGTGGGGTGGAGCTCTCAGCAGCAAGGCCCAGTTCAGGCAGCAGAGGGCAGCAAGGGGCCTCCCTGCCTAGAAAGCAGCCTTTAAAAGGTGCTAGTGGTGGTGATGGTTGGGGAGAGGACGGGGGACAGGGGAGACAGGAGCACTGGAGTGGTGGGGAACATGGTGCCCAGGATCTTGTGGGTCTGTGCAGGTGGCTCCTCCCACCAAGTTCCTTGGAAGCCTGGCTGACAGGTGCTCAGCCTGGACCAGGGTGCCTGGCCTTGCCCATCAATTAGACAGGGCCCTCTTCTGCCTCTCGCCCCACCCCCACCAGCCTCTAGGGGGTGTGACCTTACCTTGTGGCCCTGGTGTGGGGGGAGTGGCTGCTCTGAGAAGGGACTGACGCCATTTCTGTGGTGTGACCAGTTGTGTGGTACTGGTCTGAGGAGAGGGTTTCAACTATCTGCTGCCCGCTGATCCCCAGCCTGGCCCACTCCGCCTTCAAACTTAATCTCAGAGCTTTGCTGCCTTTCTTCCTGGAGGGCAGGGCAACGCAATTATGATAAGCATACTCTGGCCTGAGGTTTCCAGACTAGCAAGGTGGGTGAGACCCCAAGGCCCAGGAAACCCAGGAGGACTTCCTGCTGATTGCAAAAGGCCCTATTCCTAATTTACCAGCTTGTTCCCCACCACATCCTCAAAAGACAGCTTGTGGAGAAGACTGACTGCCAGGGGGCAGGAGGGGAGGTTTGGGGCGACTTAGCCTCTGGGCTAAGAACTGAAAACATCAGGGCTGCAGGAGGCTGCTTCCCCTGGAGTCTGAGAGGAGGCGGTGGCAGCTGGCTGGGCCCAAGCCTTTCTGGCAGTTGCAATAAGAAAAGTGGGTGAAGGTGACAGCAAGTGCCTGGGTCCTCAGGTAGATGCTACGTGACTCCTGGCACGTTGGGAGCCTATGTGTTTCCTGGGCAACCAGCTGAGCCAGGGACAAGGAGAGGAGGACAGGAGTGTGACAGGAATGCACGGGAGGGAGGGAGGCAGTGTTGTTGGCTGGCCTGCCCCTCACATGCCACTTGTGTGCTCTGCCAGCACCCTTCGGCCTGCTTGGCACTGACCCCCTGCCCTGGTGGGGGGGATCACTGTATTTCTCTAGCATCCCTGACAGTTTCTTCTTGCTCCCTGGGGCTGGGATGAGGGGGAAGTCCCTGCTGATGAGCCTGGGCCCCCTCATCCAGTGGAGGCAAGAGGTAGCCAAACCCTAGGTGGGCAGGCTGGTATGAGGGGTCAGGACCCAGCCCTTGGCCACGGTGTGCCAAGGTGCTAGTGACAGTGACCTGATGAGTGGTCTAGTTGGGGGACTCCAGGACTCCATTTCTCCAGAACAGCATTTGGCCCAGGCGGGCTGCAAGCTGCTGTCTCCGGGTGGGCAAAGAGGAGTGAGGCAGAGCCTGACTTTTCTCAGTTCAAAGGAGCTATGTGACCAAGGGCAGGGAGGGACTGTCCCCAGACAATGCTCTGGGCACTGGAGTGGGTAACCAAGGTGTGTTAGGGAATGCCCCTTCCTGGGGTCTGTGCTTCAGGCCAAGGGTCTGAATGCGGTACACTGGGAACACTGCGTTCTCTCACCCTCCACTCCCATTACCCCTAGGCAATCTGTTTTCTAGAATGAGTGACTATGAAAGCAACAGACCTGGGCCTCTAGAACTCTGAGGGCAGGTCTGGGAGGTGGAGGACCTCAGGTGTCCAGAGAAGAAAGTTCTAGGAGCCAGGGGAAATACTCCTCCTTCTCTGGCCAGGAAAGGCACCCCCTTTTAGGCAGCGCCCCACCCAGACCTCTAACCCAGGGACACTCTTCTTTCCTCTTTATGTTGTCTGGCTGGCACTGTGTGGGCCTGGGGGAGTGGAACCAAGCCCACACTGGGGCTTCTGCTTCATCATCTCATGCATGGGTGGTGGCACATGGTGCAGGCCACTGCAGAGTGCTGAGATGGGCTCCAAGCCAGCCTCTCCGTAAGCAGGCCAGGGCCAGCTGATCTACATGCACCCAGAAAGCTCTGGCTTGGACCTGGGCAGGTGACGGCACCCTGAGCAGGGCGGAGCTCCATCAAGGCCAGGGGTTCCTGGTGGTCAAGTCTCTCGGATGCAGGGTGGCCCCCAGTGGGTGGAGACTAGCTGTGAGGCTGCTGGGTGTGGAGTGACCAGGGTGGGCCATGGCTGGAGGAGGCCTGGGGGAAGCTGGGGCAGCAGGAGCCAAGCAGCCGGGCTGAGCTGGCAGCCGATGAAGGCCTCAGTGCAGCTCTCAGTCCATCGCTGGCTGGTCTAACACCAAAACCTTCAAAGCATTTGCCTTTCTGGCAGGGCCTGGAGCAGAGCTGCGGCTGGGCTGGGGAGAGGCCTCAGTGCGCAGGGGAATAGAAGCTCCAGATCTGCATCCAGAGGCGATTTTCCCAGGCTCCTTCCTCCCACACAGCGGCTCCCTCCCTTGGTTCTGGAGCTGGATCAGGCCCTTCCCACCAAGTCCTCGTGGCTGCACAACCTAGCCCCAGGCTGGGCTGCTCGTCTGGGGAGCACACTGCAGGGTAGAACCCAGGACAGACAAAGGCTCATTAGCTGCAGCTCAAGTCCCCTCCTGCCAGGACGGCTCCCAGTCTACCAGCTGCCAGAGAGGGCTATTGAGCTGGGAAACCTGAAACGGCCAAACTTCCGTGTGAGCCCCTGGTCAGGTCTACTCCATTTCAGAGCAGAGGCTTCTGGGACTGGGGAAGAGAGAGCAGAATGGCAAGCAGGACAAATGGCACTAGGACGGAAGGTCACTGTGATTACCCCTGGTACAGGGTGCGGGAGCCTGAAGTCTCCCCTAGTCTGGCCCCAACTCCCCTTGGCCTGTGGATTCAGCTTCCTCCCCCACTCAACCCTTAACTAGATTTGCTGACAGAAACAAAACGGACTGGTTTGAGTTTCACCTCTTTTCATTTCCTTTGCCCTCCCTCTGGAAGTGGTTTTAATGAGCAGTGAAATGGCTAAAAGGCAATCAGGAGGAGTAAAGCGTCGGGATAATTAAATTGTCTTCCCTTTTCCCAGTGGAACCTTAGCACCCGGGCTTGGTTGCCCAAGGCGCTGGGGGCCTCTGCACACCCAGCAGAGCTCCGGCTCCAGAGCACCCAGGCCTTGCCTCCTGCCCGCCTCCTCCCAGGGTCCTGGAGCATCCAGATGGAGAGGGGCAATGCCCTGGTGGTCCTGCGCAGCCTGCTCTGGCCAGGCCTTACCTTCTTCCACGCTCCCCGCACCAAGAACTGTGGCTACATCTACGTGGGCACCGGTGAGAAGAACATAGACTTGCCCTTCATGCTGTAGAGGGGGCCACGCCTGCAGATTTTTTTGTAAAGTCTAAATATTATTTTCTTAAATTTCAGTGAATTTGGTCTGTTTTCTCCTGCTGCTTCCCCTCATCTCCACCTCCATCTGGTGTCCAGGTTCTGAGGAGAGGACCACTGGGCCGGGAGACCCAGCTCTAAAGCAAGGAGCAGAGGGCTGGAATGTGCAAATGAGAGAGGACGGTGGGTGGAAATGGCTGTGGGAGGTGACAGCCAGAAGCCCTTTGAGGAAGGCAACCTCCTGCACTCAGATGAGAGCTGCACATCGGTCAGGTAGCCCAACTCACCTCCTCCTTGCAGCCCCCCAGGCTGAAGAGCTAACAGCTTTCAATAAAGAGAATGGGAACCTGTTTGGCCCACGAACTCCCTCCAGTTACATTCATGTAGTCCATCACAAGAGCTCTGTAACTGGCCTGAAATGGGCTCAAACCACTGCCACCCCCCAACACCCTTCCCAAGCAATGAGCACACACACCCAGTGGGTGACTACATGAGCCTGGTTTATGACATTCCTTTGGGCAAAAATCCTGTCCCCCAGCACTGAGCACAGCCCAAGCCAGTCATGAGACCATAGCAGCTGCCAAGGGACCCAACTGCCCTGTCTGCCCCCAACTGCACTGTTGCTGGGCAGGCCAAGGGCTCTGAAGTTGGTCCCACTGCCCCTCACGTCCTTCATGTTGGAGGAGCTGGGTGGCCCTAGTGGCATGGGGTGGGAGTGCAGGAGGAGCTGTGGCGAGGTTCCCAGGAA